TATTGTCCCATATCCACTTTCATCAAACATGCTCAGCTTTAGGGGCTGTCAACTCCTCCTTTCTGAGCTCCCAGTGCCTGAAGTCCAGCCTAGACTCTCCCCTGGGTAAGCCAGCTGGCACCCTGTGAATCCAGAAAAGGAAGGTTCTCTAGTCCTTCCTTAGGTTGATCAAGGGTGCATTCCATGCCTGTTTCGTAAACTCTGCAATTAGCCTCCTTCCAAACATGATCCTCTAAAACCTTGAGAAACAAAAATAATTCTACCACATGTTTCATTGGGATCTTTAAAATTAGCTAACATGTTTTTCCCCCAACAGGCAACAAGCAATCAAGCTTTATGAAAGAGTAAAGAGAATATGGTACTGCCTTTCCTAGGATATAGATATATAGATATCCACTGTATTTTCTTTATCCATTTACTTTTTAGAGAAATTAAACAACATGGATAGCAAGACTCTCCCCCCAAATAACAAGATTATGACTAGGAAATTCTTGCTTGCAGAGTGTGAGATTAGAAATTTGGCTCCCAAATTGGTTTTGACGAAAGGAAAGCTTAGCCTATGATGAACATTAAGTCTGGGGCCAAGCATAAAAGGTCAATACCAAGTAGGGTTTTAGAGGCTAGCCTACATAACACAGTTGCTTAAGCTCAAAATTAGGAAGAAAGAAACTGAATAGTCAACCAGTTGACAGCATATTCAGGAGGATCCGTTTAAACACTAAGTTGAATGCTTTTCAAATTCTAAGTGTTCTATATGTGTTAACTCATGTGGTTACTACAATTTTGGTCCTTTTACTATTGATAAAACCAAAGAATAGAAATACTAAATATAATGACCCAGTAAATGGTATATAGCTCAGCCTTAGGCAATCAGACTGTACACTCAACCACGCAGTCAATGGCTTTTTTCCCCCCAATGGCTTTTACTCTTAACATCAGAACCCACCTCAGAAAAATTCAGGAAACTTCTTTGAGGGTTCAATAAGGACTCACTCTGAATAAACAGGAACACACAGAGGGACAGACACAGACAGGGAAGGGCATAGTCTGAGAACGTGAAGATCAAGGATGGCCCTGACTTTTGCAGCCCTCTGGGAAGCAATTACCTCTTTCTACTCTCCATGATGCTTGACACATTTTGACAAGGAGAAGACAATAAACCTTATTCTGTAAGGAATGTTTGAAAAACACTGCATGGTAAGAACTTATATATTTAAAGTATACTAAAACTTTTAAGGAAAGTTGAAACCAATCAGGGAACCTCAGGTATGTAGACAGTTGGGGCTGAATACAAAACAAAACAAAACAAAAAAAGCTCATGGAATGACAAACTCAGCACACACAAAGAAAATGACCCCAGCATCAATGTCTCCTAAATCTAACTGCGCCATCCTAACATTGTTTTAATCTTTGTGTCCACTGACAATGAGAGCAAATGAAGACTTCTATGAACAAGGCAACTATTTTTACTTTTTTGGACGTTCTTCTGGAGAGGAGTTCCTTATGAGACACATCATTACATTGAAGAACCAACACTTAGAAAAGTCTGTGTTCAGTTCTATGGCAGATGTAGTCCCAACTCTCTAGACTCTAAAATCAAGTACTGGAGATAAAAGTGATAAATGGAAATGTTGAGGAAAGTCTAGGACAAAAAGGAGTTCGGAATCAGAGAGAGAAAGAGGAGATGGTCAGAGAGAAAAAGAAAGAGAGAGACAACAAGAAGGAAATTTGTTGCTTTGCATGTCTAAAATTTCCTACTTATTTAGCTGAGTGTTTGAATTACTCTTAGGAAGTAATTTATAGTGCTCATTTTTAACATTATGTGCAAATATTAAGTCCTGCACTTAATTGATCCTATAAATAGGTGGAAACAATGTAATTGGTTCTCAAATATAGTACATAATTTTAAGCAAACTCTCATCTACAAAGTTTTATAGTATTTAAAGAAAAAAAAGTAAGAGGGCATAGTTTTGGGTCCAATCACTTTACTTTGTAACCTTAGGAAAACAGTTCCACATCTCTTGATTCTTTCCTCACCTCATTATCTAATAAGATAGTGTGAGTGAAAGAAATTTTACAGAACTACCCCCTGCCTGGTAACTAATTAATACTCTATTGGCATAAAAAAAATAAGGTTGAAAATTGACCATTACCTATGAATATTTTCATTGTAATAGGAGAAGACTTGCCCCCAAATTACATCAATACTTCAGATTTCTAATCCTCACTTACTTTGTAAATACAACCTTATAGATACTCTATATGCCACGGTATAACTCTTAAATTACATGTCTAATGTATATTTAATCTTAGCCTTTTATGGCAACACTGTGATTGTATACAAATTAAATCTAAATAAAATAATCACATTTAAAGTTATAAAGACATATTTTCAACATGCTTAATTAGAAACTGAAAACAGGAAAGAAACCAGCTGGGCATAAAACTGATAATTACTAGGATTAATACTTATTTCTTAGATCAAATTCTTTAAAAATAAATCACTTTATAATTTAATTAGGTTTCCAGCTAGTAAAAAAAAAAAAACACAGTGCTAGTAAAAGCTCAGATAAGAGAAAGTAGGTTTGGACAATAGGTTTAAAAGAATCCACATAATCATGGGGCTTAATTTTTTTATCTACGATTCAGCTCAAAGTCACCAGAATGACTTTTTTATCAAAGAGCATTGGTGAATGACAGGAGCAAGACTTGCTTTGTAGTGTGTAAAAGTCATTATTCCATGAAATAACTTTAGCCTGCCAAGAAGAGAAAGAATAACAGATGCTGTTTTTGCATTATCTGCATTATTCCCACTAGTCCTCCTTAGACATTTGGGTCAGATTTCTAGAAATTTGTTACTTGCTTTTGACAGAGGAATCATGTATCCTAACCTCTTGGTTTGACCTTTCTAATTGGCATCCATTTATAATACTTTACTGTCTGTGGCAATTATCTTTAGCAAGTCCAAGTTTCATCTAATTTTTGCATAGACTTGTGCATAAATCAAAATTGTTTTCAAAGTGAAGATTTTTACCCACAACAAACAAAGCAATAAAAGTCCCTTCACACATATTGTACATTATTATGATTTTTAGAGTTTGAAGATGTTCCAATCTTTTACAACCTTAAAGTACACTGAGGAAAGATTAATCTGTTCAGAAGTATTTAATCATTATTTTCAAAGCCATATGTAGATTTTTTTAATTCAAATATTGTATTAAATAAAATGAAATGTCTGTCTTTCATAATTTTGTTTCTTAAGAGAAATAAATGAAAACACCAATTATATTCAATTGCTCAATCTGAATGGTTATTTTATAAGTACTATATCATAACTTGCAACAGTGCAATAATCAGCTCAGAAAATGAAAAAGAAAAATTATAATTCTGCCAGTAAGTGAGTTCAGAATCTAACAAGTTTTCAAGCTCTTTAAGTAAACCAAGACTGGTAAATTATAGTATTTATATTATATATAACTTATTACATATGATAATAGGTAATATTTATTGAGTATTTAAACTATCAAGTACTGTTTTAAGCACATAATACATATTGCTTCCTTTAAATAACTACAGAACTCGCTCCATCGCTACAGTATTCTTTAAAAATTATTGGCAAATCACCTCTGGATGCTAAGGAATGGAAAGTTGCAAAGTCTTATACATAGAACCAAGAAGAAATCTCACTGAAATTGTAAAGATCTATAAAATTAAAAAAATACAAATAAGTTTAAGTTGGTTATACTATTAATTGAAAATCATCAAAATACTTTGAAAATTTGGAGAGTAATATTTTGGCCATCTATTTAATACAAACTAAAGAAAATAAAGAACTGACACAGAAATACCACAGGGAAAAAAGCTTAAATCCCTTCTAAGTGTCATGAATATTAATACAAATAAACAAATTCTGAGAGTGGGAAACTTAATCTAGACATATTTTGTTAACTTTTAAATATCTCATATTTTCCAGTTGGCTGAACGTTTTCATAACAAAGCAAAGAAATAATTTATAGATTGATCATAAAATATAGAAGTGCAGCCGGGCGCCAATGGCTCATGTCTGTAATCCTAGCTACTCAGGAGGCTGTAAACTCAGGATCGTGGTTCAAAGCCAGCCCAGGCAGGAATGGTCATGAGACTCTTATCTACAATAAACCATTCAGAAAACTAGAAGTGGCGCTGTGGCTCAAGTGGTAGAGAGCTAGCCTTGATCTGAAGAGCTCAGAGACAGCACCCAGGCCCAGAGTTCAAGCCCCATGATTGACTATACATATATATATATGTACGTATATATATATACACATATATATATGCATATATATATGTATATATATATATGGAGAGAGAGAGAACACTGAAATTTTTTTCCTTTTTTAATTGTGAAAATACCATACAGAGGAGTTTTTAAGAGCAAAATTAGTCTTTAATAGCCATTATATTTGATATGACAAAAATACAAAATAAAATATAAAAGTTCTCAAATTCATCAATTTTCCCTATGAGATATCTGAGTTAATCATGGTTTCTCCCTTACTAACGTTTTTAAGGTAACATAACTACTTTCACTCATGTTTCAGTATCATGAGTCATTTACAAATTTAAATAAGCACTAAACACACATGCCATCACATCAACCTGTAAAATTAAACTGCTATATAATATCTTATTACCATAATAGCTCTCTCTCTTCCTTGGGCCTTTCTAAGAAATAAAAGGTATCAACTATTCTGAGAGGGCTATTTCCAAATGCATTTACCTCTGAAATTTTGGCAGGTTATATAATACCTTTACAAAAAAAACTCAAAATATTTAAATGATTACTAATAGACATGCAAACAGTTCTCTTGGCTATAAGTATGTATTATATTATAAGAAAAAATTTTAAATTCTCTGAGCATGTTGTCAGCCTTATCAACTAATTGGGAAGTCACTTCATAGCACGTTACAAAAGTAAAATCTTCATAATACCTTTAGCAAATATAAATGATTCTACTTACACTTGCATGGAGTTTTCCTTTTTTTGACATCGCTAAAAATTTGTTGCTGAAAACTCCTCGTATTCCTACAATCCCCTGAGACACAGCAAATATTTCCAAAATACCTAGGATGACAGAAATCCCAAAATAAAACACAAACTCTTCTACATATCCTTGTGAAGAATTAAATGTCTACATATGCTTTATTACTGCAAGTAAAAACATAGTACTTAAGACACTTATTTTTTGTGCTATTCACTATGTTAAAATGGCTTGCATTCAAGTATACATTTATGATGATTCATTTCAAAGTTTAAAAGTTTGGTTCTGCTTCATCAGTACTTCCTATTTTTATTGTACATAACAAGTTGCTTTTAGTAAAAAAAAAAAAAAGTTTGATAATAGACTATTTTCAAGTTCTAAAAGAAAAGACATCTTCTAACTCTTAAAAACTAATTTGCATTCATTATAATTGGCACTGAAAACAATATACCACTTTAAGTATAAGCCATTCCAAAGCCTGAAAAAGAGCTGTAATTTACATAAAATAAATCCCTCTTCTCAAATTATCGCAAATTAAAAGTATATGCCATACATAATTGTTTCTGGTGGTTCCCTTAAATTCTACACATACCAAGATACTGAAAATGTAATAACTTGAAATTGTTGTCTCAGTGAAGTGTTTGATGGATTATGCTTTGAGACACATTGCATTTTAATCATGTCCTAAAAAATTAATAGATACGTTATTTCATTATTGTTACTATTTTGTAACTTTTGACATAGGTAGTTTTAGTATGTCTTTCTCCTTTAGTATTGCAAAATCCACATCCTGAGTCATGAGAATTGCTCACCACAATTCAAATATTTTAAGATAAAAGTCACAATCATATACATATAATTGGGAAGGCTGCTCATTTAGCATAAAATCACATAGAATTTTATATGAGAAAGCATAATGTTTTGTTAGTTACCTGAAATTGCAATAAGTAAACACATAAAACAAAGTTCACTAGACCTAAGAAAGAATCTTTATTAGAAGGAACAAAGGGAAGCAGGAAAAAAGGAAAAGAAAGAGGGAAGGATAAAGAATATCCCAAAATGTTAATGTATACTGCTTAAAGCATTTATACTAAAATTATATATCAGTAGAACTCTAATACATACAAAATTCATTTGACAAAAAAGGAGTATATATAATGTATATGAATAAATTTTGAGCAAGTGCATACCACAATGAAAACCGAGCACCTATAATTGTAACAAATACTGCTGCTTACTTGGTTTCTTAAAAATAATTGGTTAGAAAGTACATGGAGAAAGGGAAATAACTCAAACAATACTTTCATTACGAATATTCTTGGCTCAGAATAAATAAAACATATCTTAGGAAAACTTTGGCTACAACTTAGGGTTTTTTCTTTTCTTTTCTTTTTCTTTTGTGCCAGGCCTGAACCCTAAGAGCTGTCCTTGAGCTTTTAGGCTCAAGTCTGGCACTCTACTACTTGAACCACAGCTCTAGTTTTTGGTAGTTTTTGTTGCTATTATAATAGTCTCATGGACGTTCCTGCCTGAGCTGGCTTCAAACCACGATCCTCAAATCTCAGCTTCCTAAGTAGCTAGGAATAGAGCCATTAGCAACTGGCTTCCAGCAATAACAATAAAATATTTATTTTTATGGAAAAAGGGAGGAAATAAGTTACTTTTACTTTAGTAAGAAACTAATTAAAAAAAGATGCCCCATACATCTTTTCCTCCAGAATGTTTTAAAAATGCTGTTTGCATTAGAATTTGTAACAAAAGTTGTCCAACTGTGATACACACACAAAAGATTTCAAAGAATTGTCACTGTATCATATAGCAAAGTACATAGACTACATTTTTAGTTAATTATACTACTCTACAGATATATAAGCTCTACTTACTTTATATAAAATATAAGTTACTTATATAAATATAATTGCATATTTCATATACGTATTTAAAGTATTTTATAAAAATGCAAATTAAGTAGTGTAGTTACAACCATTAAATTACCAATCAACCATGTTAGCATGTCACTGTATCATATAGCAAAGTACACAGACTACAATTTTAGTTAATTACACTACTCTACAGATATATAAGCGCTACATACTTTATATAAAAATATAAATTATATAAATATGATTGCATATTTCATATATGTATATAAAGTATTTTATGCAAATGTAAATTAAGTAGTGTATTTACAACCACTAAATTACGAATCTACCATGTTAACATAGTGTATTTAACTTTACAAAGTTAAATTACAAAGGCATAATATAATAGCATTGCTAAAATATGCCCAGAACATCTGATACAAGAATGATATTGTGAACATTACATATTTATTTTAGATATTTTGAAGAGCATGATTTGCTTGTGAATTCTGTATAAACATTTGTTGTCAAAAACAAGACAAGAAAACATAAAAAAACTTTCTATGTGCGTTGATAAATACAAAGGAGACAATGTGGAGCTGTTTGAAAAGTAGACTAGGCTACTGCTGATGTATGCATTGTTGGATGCATTGTTAGAAGTTTTTATTTCATTCTCTGGAAAATTATCTGGCATGATAAATGCAAATCAATTGTATATTAATGAAAAGTATATGATAATACTAACAAAAACCCTTCTCATAAGCATGTGTTTTCAAGCTGACTTTCAAGATCAAGATAAAAGGGCTTTATAAATACTTAATAAAAATGCTACTTCTTATATGTTATTTTTAAAAGAAAACTCATTTTGACCCATTTAACTTGCATATGTAAATACATTGTGTAATCTGTGTATATACAGAGTATATAACTTCCATTGCAATGAATTCTATAGACTGTGTGAGATTTTTTTCCTAATAAATTTCTGTGTATAAATGAGTTCTTACCAGAGGATAGAAAGATCTGATAATTTTAAGAAATTGAACCAGAAGCTTAAAAACAAATGTTTATACAACATATTCTATTTATTACAGTGAAGAACAGTAAACAGAGAAAAGATGCACTTAAATTTTTTTAATTATTTTTCATGCAAGCAAACATCAGTATTGATGTTTTAAATGTTAATGTAATTATGGTTTAAAATTGGACTCACTATTAAGATTATGACACCGCAATATCAGAAATGCTTTCACATTATCTTATTTTCTAGAATATTGGTGTAAAATCTATCTGCCTCACAATGTAACTTCCTGCTCCCTTTCCTGAAATATAGCAGGCTATTTTACTTATTCTACAATACTTCATACAATACCTCAATAGCTCATTGGAGAATTGCTCATAGTACTTTAAGCCCATGTACATTATACTGCCCATTTATAAATTCCAGAAAACATTTCTCTACCATTGACTTTTTTATGACTTAGCATTGGGGGGGGGGGGGGAGTGTCAGTGAAAATCCATAGTGTTTGCCTTATGAGTGCCAAGATCGTATACTTCAGCAAAGTCATATAAGATAAAGCTTGTCTCACAGATCATAGTCAATGGCTGCCTGAAGCTTCAGTTGTCTTCTCTGACACTCAGAATCATTTTCCCTGCTTCAAGACAACTGATATGTATTCATATAGGGACATGTGTTCTGGTTACTGCTCTTTTGGTCATCTCCTAGTTGATGGTGGGGCTGCTTCCATATAAATTAACTCACAAGAGAGTAGTAGTGATGGTGTGTTATCTTCCCTAAGGTATTCATGTTGAGGAGAACTAAAAGAAGGGGGTCAATAATTAACACAAGGAAGTCTCCCTTGGTAGAATTTCAGAGTGGACATCTAGGTGGAGAGAGAGGCAAGAATTTCTTGGTGCATCTGAGATTACATACCCAGTTTATTCTACTTAATTTAATTTTACTTAGTTTAATTTTATTTATTTTAAATAAACTTATTAAGGAAATTTAATTCAATAAGAAAACACATGTAGGTATTTTGTTTTACCTTAATCCTATTCAGATTACTAATATAGAAGTACTCTTGATGACAATAGAGTTACAGACTTGATGACTAAATTTAGAATAACATAGATACCCCATTTGTACAGAAGCTTCAAACTGCTCATCTAAAAATTCCTAAAGAAGAATATTTTAAAACTGAAGTTTCTTTACATGCATCCATGTAATAATAGGTATGCTATGCCAATTTATCAAATCTGAGATTTATTTAGTAACAAAATTTCCGCTTGAGCTCCAAACAATTGATTCAATCCTGGTTTATAAAGGCCTGGTTTATCAAGGTTTATGTGGTTTATCAAGGGTTAATGACTAATGACACCAACTAATAGCAATCCAGAGTTTTTAAAAAATTAGTAAAATTTAGAGTTTCCATCATAAAAATGTAAATGAGATCTTTTACATTCTCTGTGAATGCTCTGGCTTACATAGCCATAAGTTTCAACTTTTCCTCCCTGGATTGAGTCACTTGATTTCTTAATTTTACTAGTACCAGGTAAGTCAACTGGAACATTAGGTCATAAAGATACTTGGAAGCATGGAAGTTAAATAAATCGGTTTGTTCCTGCACAATGGTTGGATTATTCAGTTTTCCTATTTATTTTCTTATGTATTTTGTCTTATTTATTTTCTTCATCTTTCCCTAATATTTCCTCATAATAAAAGATTTTTTGCAATAAGTGTGTTTTTCTTTTCTATTTTTAAAACTTGGGATCGTTATTGTTTAAAAGAAATTAAGACTGGACTAAGTGACACATCAAACTAAAGAAATCATATTTTAATATGTATGAGCAGACTATAGTTCTGATTATAAAACTAGAAAATATTCACAATTTGAAAAAATATTTATTGTTGAATGCAAACTGTGAATATACAGATATTCATTCTGTCTGACAAATAAAATTACTGGGCTTAATAGCTACTAGAGTGAAATTCCAGGGCAAAATGTTCACTTTTTCTGAAGTAGCTGGCTTATAGAAAAGAAGAATATCAATTTTCTATTCTTGCTAACTCTCTGACAGTAGTAGAACCAGATGATAATGAAAAACCAATCTATCCTCTCTGATCCTTGACACAGCTCACCCAGCCTCTCTTGTAAGACGCAGTATTTCTTCATATGCTCTAAGCAAAAGTCCATGACCAACACCACAGTTTATATAATGTCCGGAAACTATCCAGGGCTATCTTCAAAGAGGTGAATGACCAACTGCAATTAGCAAGCTGTTGCTGCTTCTTTTTCATAGCTATCTTAGGACAGAGACCCTATTTAACTTTCTCAATTATATACCAACCTACTCAATAGAAGATTGTGCTATAAAGTCTTAATTGAACAACGGTAGTAAAATTTTACAAAGCAGTATTGACCCGCCAACCATCACAAAGCAATCACTATGACTTGAAAATTTTAAGACATACTTTCTCCTGTGAAAACAAACAAATGAAACAACAAAAGCTAGCACCAAAATAACCATATTTCGTGCAGTGTGTCTTCTACAACAAGTGCACGAATGGACAAATAAGTGAATAAAAGCAATTCATGTGAAAGACACAGACTGAACACTGGATTGTTTTGAACACTAATACATTAGGAAAGAGTTAATTACATTTTATGCAGTCACTGTTCAGGTGACATTCCTGCTCTTTTGAAGACATTTTTTAAGATGGTTTTAAAATAAGTTGTATTTTGTTAAAAAGCAGATAATGGGTCAATGTCTTCTTTAGCTGAAATGCTTTACTTTGTTGATCAGTTCTTCCCCACTAGCAAGGCCTAGCTATAAAATCTTTAATTGCAGTGTCTTTGTAGAGGAAAGGGTAAATGTTTTGGGAATGTGCCTTGTTTTGAGAGATCCCTAGACACATTGATTTAGTTCCTGGACTCCAACTGCTGCTTGCTGCCTGGTCACTTTGGGACTTTCCTTAAGCACACAAAGGTTATCCTGGGCTGGCACTGATTTCATAGATAAACTACAAGAACAGAATAGGGAGGGTTTTTTTTTCCTGAAAAGAAGAGGGAAGATTTCTCAGTACAGAATAAGCTCAGGTGTCTGACAATCTACAATGTGAGACAGATAAATAGAAATACACAAATACAAGTAATCTTCTGTGTTTCTAAGTCTCAGAAAACTCACCTTCACTGGAACAGATTGTTCTTTTTTTTTTTTTCCTCCCAAAGATGGGAGTTATTTGATAGGACGAAATGAACTTTAAACCCCGAAAATAGGTTTCTCTGAGGAGCTTAGGGTGTTGCATGTGGCCCACCCTCTTCTGAGTGCTCAGATTCACCTCAGTGTGTGTGTGTGCCTAAACCAGCTGGAATCTTAAAACCTAAAAGACTAAACACATGCAATGCTCAGAAGATGAACCTGCTCCTATCCTGGTAAGAAGCATTAGGACTTTTGCTCCTTGCCCCCTAACCCTTCCAGAGACTTGTCAGCCAACCTCCCCCCCCCCCCCCACTGATGTTTACACCCCGGAAAGAAGCACTTCATGGGCCCCTGCTAGACTGTCAGCACTCCTTGAAGCCTGCACTGCTGGCTCCTCCTGAATAAGAAGCCAAGTACACCAAAAAGGCCTTTGACAACAAGTTAGGTACACTTGTGAGCTAAGCCGCTGACAGCAGGGCAGGTGACTGTGCCTAGCATTCTATTTCCTGGCCATATTTCCTCTCTTCCTGGGTATCCCAGAGGCCCTAGCTGCGCTTTTTATATGGCTGACTAATCTCACCTCTCTCTCCCTTCCCCCCAAGAAAAGCAATCCCCAAGCCACCCTTCAACCATCTTTCCCCTCAGCTTCCTAGAGGCAGTGTGAGACATGAGAGGAGCACTTGTGATGCTCTAGAAAGTTAGTGGAAGGAAGAAGAGAGACAGACAGACAGACAGAGAGACACAGAGAGAGAGAGAGAGAGAGAGAGGGAGGGAGGGAGGGAGAGAAGGAGGGAGGGAGGGAGACTAATGGGGAAACCCAGAAAGACAATGTATAACTTGTTTTCATCTTTAAAAGTTCTGCACCCATATCAAATTGACTGTATTAGACAGTATTTTGTTTAAATAAATAACTTCCCTCTCATTGTCCTTGGGGACCAATGAAAAGCTGTCCAGCCTTCTCAAGGTCTCAACACACTAAACATCGCTAAACCCAATTCCTGGAGTTAGTAATCACAATGTTCATCATGTCTTCTCAGAACATACCCAGTTTTCCAGACCTCACTGCCTTCTTTCAGACAGGAACCTCTGCTTCCCATATCTATATGGATCTATCCATCTAGCCAAATATAGATACGGATAGCAAAATAGATGACAGACAAATCAAACGCATGTGCACATAGACATCTACACATTTAGGTGTATGCATATGCTCATACGATACTAATTGGGGATTCACGGTAGCACTTAGAGCAAAGAAGTATTGGAGTTCTCACTCCTCAAACAAACCGACCAACCAACTTAAGCTATGCATAGGAAAACGTGATGCACTTTGACTCCTAGTGACAAACGCCAGCCCCAGCCTCGTTTGTAAGCCGAAGGTGAGAAATTGTTGGAGAAGGAAGGAAGTGCCGGAGAAGGGGAAGCTTTTCTCTAGGAGGGTTAGAAGCTCATCTTTGGGACCAAGGCATCCTGGCAGCAAGGTGCCTGTCCGGGAAAGAGCCTGTGGGTAACCTGCACCTCCAAAATCGCCGTGGCTCATGCCCAAGCGATGGGTGCGTGTGCGCCATCAAGACGCATCTCCATCCAGGCTCTCCCCGGCAGTTTTCTGGGACCAGCGGCTGCGTCCCAGAAGCTGGGGCTCCAGGATGTGAATCCGGGAATGCCCAGCCGCGTGCCCTGCTGCCTCTCTTACCATCCCGCCTAGCACAGGTTTGGAAGGAGAGCAAACAACTTACTTAACATATTGGCTTCGTGGGAGCCATTGACTTTGCCATCCGGGTAGATCTGCAGATGGAACCCGATGCCCACTCTGCAGTAAAGGCTGCCGGTGCGACGCCCCGAGGGGCTCCACTGGAAGCTGCCCTGCTCCGCGCCGCTCCCCGGGCTGCCCGAAGACGCCAGGGAGGCGGAGGAAGAGGAGGCAGAGGAAGACGAGGACCAACGCGTGCTACTACTATTCCCACGGTTGCCGGAGTCCCCCGGGTTCTTGTCCGTGACAGCCGATCCGAGTTGCCCTTTGGGGGCCAGACGCTTCTCCCCGTGAGCCCAAGCACTGACGATCAGGTGGCTGAGGAAGAGGAGGAAGAGGAAGGGCAAGCTCATGCTTCCAGCCGCGGGGGTCCTAAGTGCATCTTGTAGGGTTGCTTCTGGGCTCTGTAGCCCCCGCGCGGCTGCGAGCCTCTGGCGCTGCCTCCCTCGCCGCCCTGGGTGGACATAGCCTCGGGGAAGAGAGAGGGAGAGAGAGAGAGAGATGAGAGAGAGAGACGAAAGAGAGAGAGAGAGAGAGGCCACCCGAGCGGATCTCGCGCTGGCACAGGGATATTTATAACGCCAGTGATCTCACTGCTCCGTGAACGCCTGCGAAGCTTCCCCTCACCCCGCTTTGTGTACTCACTGGGGCCGGTGCGGGGAGGGAGCCTCTGGGTCCCCGGGGGCGGGGAGGGGGGTGTGCAGGAAGGAGGAGATGGGAGAGAGTGAGTGGGAGGAGAGGCCGGCTGCACCCCGGACGCTGGGTGCGCCCACACCAGGGCCGCGCACCCCAAAGCCGTTCTCAAGCGCCACGCCGCCGCCACCTCCCTCTCCACCTGGACCCAGACACCGCGACAACCCACACCGCGCGCGGAATTCGGTTCCCAGTTGAGTCCTCCAGGGACCTAGACAGAAACCTGGAGGGGTTTGGGGGGGGCGGGGAGAGGGGGAGATGAAGGGACTGGGAAGGGGGGTGGGAAAGTGGGAATCGGGCTTGCCTCTTTTGCCACCTCTACCGCGCACAAGTGTCCCGGCAGGCAGTGCACGCTTCACTACCCGGTGCCCTGATGTCTTTCCAGATTGCTCTTCCTTTTGCCAGCTAGATCCCATCAGCTCCTCCTCCCCACTGCCCCCCTGGCAAGGGATCCCAGTTGCTTTCGGAGAGAACCAAACCCGAATTCTCAACTCCACTTGAGAAAGCTTTGGAGTGGCGGCTTGGGAGACTAGGACGGTTTGTTGTTGTTGTTGTTGCTGCTGCTGGTTTATTAATAAGCCCAAGCATGGGTACATTCAGCGTTTCGAAAACCACTATGAATCACTACGCCACGACTGGAGCTGCTTTCCTATCGCAAACTCTCTCTCGGTCTTATTCTCTCTCTGGAACTTATTCCTCATTTGTTTGTCCTTCTAGGACATCGAATGTGTGTTCAGGAAGGTGAGTGCAGATACTGTACACGCATACCCGGGCTCGCCCATGCTCAGGTCCAGGCAATGGGGACTGGATTGGATACCAGCACGTGTCTCCACCGCCCAGTTGTCCCCTGGCGCTGCAGGATCCCTTTGGCAGGAAGGATTAGCTAACAGCCCGCCTAGGCTTACTCAGACATGCCACGGAAGGGAGGACCGACCCCAATGAATGATTAATGACCGGCACACTGGATTCCAACTTCGGGAAACCTGAGAACAGAGAATTCCCCCCCCCGCCCCCCCCCCCCCCGCCCCATGCAATACCCTGTCTATTATTTATCTGAGAAATATACCTGACTTGCATTCTTGGAATATTTCTGCCTGAAAAACATAACTGAAGCGTTTGAAAATGAAGCTATGATACATTCTTCATTGGTCATTTTTAATGAAAAGCCTGTGATATTGACTCATAAGCCAAAGAGAGGGCCCGATCCATTATTGAGTATTCACTTAAGATGTCTTATCTCAGTAATGAAAAGCATATCCAATCTTCCACAAACAAAGTACTTAGCATGGAGGAAGCTGTTCAAAAACAAAGTCACCTGGAATATTGGATGAAGTCACTGTGCAGAAGCCAGGGCCTATATCATACACAGAAGTACACAGCACCTGGCGGGCTATGTAAAGCACTGTCAAATGGAACCTTCTTTCTGCTGGTACAGGTGCATGCTGTGTGCTTCTGGATTCTAGAGTCTGTGGAATAGAGGATGTTTTCACTGAGATGAAATAAGAGTGTGTCTGTCTGTTGTGGGTAGTGCTTCAGTGTGATTAAACTCTCAGAATAAGAGGAGGTGGGCTGTTAAACTGTTAAACTCTTATAGTAGGGAGAAAGTGCTCACACAAATCCCCATTTGGAGCACACAAGTAGAGTAGATACTATCACTTTTTTAAATTTATGGCAAAACTACATTGAGGTCCTTAAAAAGTGCTGCGAAGACTGACCAGTGAGACTGTGAAGACCACAGAAGACCTGTCAATGAGGTATGCTCCCTCTAAGGCTGCATGGTGATAACACAACTTCCAACCCAACTACTAGGCCATGTGTGCAGTTCCAGTCTTGCCAAGTCTGTGTTCAGCATTTGAAGAGACAAAAAAAAAATCTCATTTGAACCCTAGGCTCTGGTGGCTCACACCTACAATCCTAGCTACTCAGGAAGCTAAGATCTGAGGATTGCTGTTCAAAGCCAGCAGGAAAGTCCATGAGACTCATCTCCAATTAATCACCAGCAAACTGGAAGTGGAGCTATGGCTCAAAGAGATAGAGTACTAGCCTTGAGCAGAAAAACTCAGGCCCTGAGTTCAAGCTCCACAACCCTCAACGCCCCCCCCCCCCCGAAAAAAACTCATTTCAGTATCTTGGCTACTCTTGGCTACCCTGGCTGCCTTTCTCCTACAAATTCTACCCTAAAGAGAACATAGATGTATACCACATTTCTGGTAGGCAATTGCCCAAATCCTCTTACTAGAAACATTCTACTATCTCAAGGATGTCTGGATAAGCTTCCCATAACTAAGACATACAGGTGTGCTCACAGCTGATCCACTATTCACTCATTCCCTTTCTTGGGGCCAGAAAGCAAGGTATAGAGAAGGTTCATGCTCCTAGTTAGATGAAGATAATGGTCCTAGAAGACTAGTGTCTACTCACTACCACCTAACACTACCACCTAACCACTCCCCTCAAAAAAGAAAACAAAAACCACAAAGAGGGCTGGGAAGGTGGCTCAGTGGTAGAGCGCTTGCTTTGCATGCCTGAGGCCCTGGGTTTGATTCCTCAGCACCACATAAGCAAAAAGAAAAAAGCCGGAAGTTGCGCTCTGGCTCAAGTGGTAGAGCGCTAGCTTTGAGCTGAAGAGCTGAGGGACAGCGCTCAGGCCCAGAGTACAGGCCCCATGACCAGACCCAAAAAAAAAAACAACACAAAGAACTCACAACCACCTAACAGAACACACACACACACACACACACACACACACACACACACAATCCACACACAAAAAAACTATCCAGTAGGTTAACCAGGTTTACTTATTGCAGCCTTGATAGTCTACAAGCTCTATCACTTCAGGCTATCATTTCTACACCCCCAGCATCTGAGTTTTCCTTCCAAGATTCCTGTCTCCCTTGAGGAAATCCTGGAAGGGAAATTCTTTATCATCTGGTTTCTAGATGCATTATTCTACTCTATGTCTAGAATCTAAACAAACAAAGAATGAAAGAAAAGAGACATGAGATAAAGAAATCCATGCCTAAAGTTCCCTTCACCCAAGGGCCAAGCTCCCCACCCACAACTCTCCTCTGGTTATAGGAAGATGCCAGGGCACACATCCTAAAGTACATGGAGGGAGAAGCTGTGATGCACAAGAGCAGACAGTGGGATAGAATGAGAAATCCAGGGTTGTGCAAACCAGTCCCAGGAGGCTCCTAAGCTGCAGCAGGTTGCTGCAGTGCCAGGTTTCTGTTCCAAAGCCTCGGTCCAGCCAGATCGCTGCTCCTGGAGGTGTGAACATGCTGTTGAGTTTATCTGCTCTGTGGTTTTCCATGCTGTGCAACGGGAAGGCCAGGACTCTTTTCCTCTGTTTGATCTCAGCAAACAAAAGCTCAGGGGTTTACAGCAAGTTCTGGAAAATGGCTTCAATCCTGGCTTTAATAAAGAACTCTTGCAGGCCCCCTACTTCTTGTTGCCTTTCTATGCTAGAGGCTGTGTCCACATAACAATAGGTAATACTTTTTGCTAACTACATCTTGGTGATCTCCCAACGACCTCTAATTTCATATAATTTTAAATGGAGGTGCTGTGGACTGAATGTCTGTGTTGCTCCCAAATTGCTGTTGCACCGCTAATCTCCAATGTGATGGTATTGGGAAATGGTGCAGTATTTAGTTAGGTTATAGAGTCCCTAAAACAGGATTGATGCCCTTGGAAGAAGAGACCAAGGAAACATCTGGCTTCACCCCCACCCTTGCCTACCAGATGAAGAACTCGTACAGAGTATCCTCACCAAAGCCTGGCTGTGGTTATTACCTTGATCTCAGATTTTGCAGACACCTGAATTGTGTGTGTGTGTGTGTGTGTGTGTGTGTGTGTGTGTGTGTGTGTGTGTGTGTGTGTAGGCTTCTTGTTTAAAATCCTCCTGGCTTTGGTATTCTTGTCACAGCTGCCTAAGAAAGGCAGATGCACATTTGCCTCGTAGACAGAGTGGGAACTAACCTGTGGAGTCCTCAGTCCACACTGGTTCCAGGACCCTCAGCTTCCTCCAGGTCTGGCTTCCCTTCCTAACAGCCCAGTTGGCAGCAGCTACAACAGCAAATAGCCTGTGGCTAAAGGAGCAGGCTGAGCAGGTTGAGAAGGGTGGGACAGGCTGGCTATGTGAGAAGAAAACAGCAGAAAGTGAAGTGTGGTTTGAAGAGTTTACACCTCTTTCCCTTTCTCCAGAGTCCACTGCTTTTCTCCAAAGAGGGAGCCATGAGGCAGTGGCCACTGAGAAATAGCCATGGGTACCCACTTTCTGCTATTTGGGTAATGCCAAATAATAAAGTAGCCTTAGTTGCTAAATGGAGGTCTTTTGTGACCCAAATGAGCTCATTTTTCCCCCTATCAACTCCTGTATTTTCCACTAATCTAGTGGTGAGGTTTGCTTTAGCTTGTGGTACATCCATGTACTGGGTCCCAAAGCACTACAGACCTCAGTTCCTTACTGTGCCATGTCTGATTGCAGAGAAGCATTTGTTCTTAAAGTAGAAAGCCAGCCATAGGGCTCCCTGTGCGTGTTTCACAACATGTCATGATTGAACCCCATGCTACCTGCTCTCCCTCCAAAGCAAAGCCCATTCTGTCCTTTGTAATTGACTTTGCTATTGGTTCTAATAGCAGAGGGATTTAGGCA